ATGGCAAACCCAAGTCCGGCTGACTTTGAAGGCCAGCTCCCAGCACTCTGCAGGACACTCAAGTCTGTCCATCACGAAGCTGAGCGAGCGGGGTCACCCCCAGGCCTGCCCCCACAGGGGCCCACCATCGAGGCAGATGCTATGCACACAGCTGTGTGGCCAAGAAGGTGACAGCAAAGCAACCAGGGCTGTGACAAGGGCATGGCCCAGGGACCTCAGTCCTTGCTGCTCTGTAGACTCCAACGGCCCAAGCAGCGGGGGGGCTCCCGTGGTCTCTGAAGCCATGGCCCTCACACTCCTGTCAGTCACAGGCTGCGCCGCAGGAGACAGCTATGAGAGAAGCCCTTGTGCGTTCTGAGGAAAACCACTTTGACTGGAAGCATCTTGTCAGATCCTCCCTAGAGGCCCAGAAAGGCAACTGGTGTATCTACCTCACTCTATAGCTAAAAAAAACAGGGTCCAAGAGTCAGGTTGGCTTGGCCAAAGTCACAGAGCTAGGGAGCAGCCGACTCAGGGTCTGGCCCAGGAGTGCCAACTCTCAATGAGCACCCTTATTGCTGGGGCACACAGCCCCACAGGGTTCTGGATCATGACAGGAGAAAGAGTCTCCTGGTCGCCACTGGGAACTGCAGAGTCACTGGGTTCATTCTACCTGCTCTGTGCTACAAATCATCCCCATGCGTAAGCGGAGCCCGGATTATTCAGTGAGCACCCACCCAAGCACCCTGGAGCTCCTCAGAACTGCTTCTCGTGCCTCCCTAGGGACCTTTCTATTCCCCTGAAACTGCTCTTCCCGGCTCCCAGGGTCTATCAGGGGCACTGGGGGAATCTGTGATATCAAGGCTTCCTGGCTCTACTCTTCTTCCAGCTGCCCCCCAGCACACACGTGCACACACACACACACCGTCTGTCTCACGCGAATGTACACATGCACACAAACACACCCTGAATATATCTGCACTTTGTTCTTTGGAAACATCTCTGCGTCCTCTGCACAGCCTCCCATCCACCCTCCTCCGGTCAGACCCTCCTTCTATGGGGTTTCCAAATGACTTTATTCCAAGATATTTTCTGCAAACAAAATTGTATGCAGGAGCCAGAGATATTGTTAACCTTAAAAATACAAATCTAAAAAGTAAAAATAAAAAAACAAAATATATTTCACCAGCAAAAGATGGGCTTATCTGGGATTAGCAGAGGTGGCAATCATGGACAAGCAAGCTACAGCAAAACCCAAGGCAGGTCTGCAGAATTAAGAAGAGAACTGCCCTATTATACAAGAAATGGGGGGGGGGGGTGTTGGGAGGGACCCTTGTAAAAAGTCCACGTAAAATAGTGGCTTCTCATTGGCAGGGCTGTGGCAACCTCTCGGTGGCCGGGCTGTGACAGCCTCTCGGTGGCCGGGCTGTGGCAGCCTCTCGGTGGCTGGGCTATGACAGTCTCTCACTGGCTGGGCTGTGACAGCCTCTCAGTGGCCGGGCTGTGACAGCCTCTCACTGGCTGGGCTGTGGCAGCCTCTCGGTGGCCGGGCTGTGGCAGGGTTGGGGGGAGAGGGAGTTGGAAAACTTCCTCATCCTGTAGGGATAATGAAGTAGTATCTACCTACAAGGTGCAACTGACCAGGAGTGCTGGGTGTCAGAGGTCCCCCTGCCGGCCTCCTGACTCCATTCTGAAGGAGATTTCTGTTTATTAATTTTCACAATATCAAACTGTAAAAAACAGAGGTGCTTTGGGAAAGGGTGGGAATGAAGCCAACCGCAGCAGCCCCCAAAGCTCCTCCAAACACCCTGCTTAAAGCAGACCCCAGCCCCAGGCTGCCGTGGGCTTTATTACCTCTGTGCCTCATCAGTAAAAAGCAGTGACAATAGTAGCATGTAGCTCCTCTGGTGTCGTGAAAATTACGGTTTATGTATCATTAAAGATTATCTTGTTAAAGAACAGAAGTTCAGTCAAGTAAATTTGAAGATCTAATTGGCTTTATTAAGGGATTCATGAATCAAGCAGCAGTTGAACAAAACGGAAGGTTTTTAAAGGCAGGAGGTGGGGCAAGGAAGTCCTTAGGGAAAGAAAAGAAAAGATTATCTCAAGCCAGATTATCTTGGGTGGGGGGAAGGTTAGGGTTTGGGTGACAGGAGTACCTTTTGTTCTAATGAGGCAAATCTGGGTGGGCACTTGGATGGCTCCCAGGTAGGGGCTGGTCACCTGTAAGACCAAGTGCTGATTAGAAGCTTGAAACTTTTACTCTCCACCAACCACATGGTCAGTCAACCATAGAGTCCCAATAAAAATTCTGGACACTCAAGACTTGGTTGAGTTTCCCTTGTAGGCAAAGCACATTGTCCAAGTGTATTGCCACACATCATTGCCTGGAGAGTAACAGTCTCCACGACTCCAGGGGAAGCCCCATGCTTGGACCTTTCCTGAGCTCTGCTCTATATGACTCTTCCTACTTGGATGATTGTAATCCATTTCCTTTCCCTGTAATAAACAATAACCATGAGTATAACAGCTTCCAGTGAGTTCTATGAGTCCTTCCACTGAATTATCAAAGTTCAGGGTAGTCTCAGAGATCCACAAACTTGCAGCTGGCATCAGAAGTGAGGGAAGTCTTGTGAATTGTGCTCCTTCTTTTTTTTTTTAAAAGATTTTATTTATTTATTTGATAGAGAGAGACACAGCGAGAGAGGGAACACAAGCAGGGGGAGTGGGAGAGGGAGAAGCAGGCTTCCGGCTGAGCAGGGAGCCTGCTTCTCCCACTCCCCCTGTTTATATTCCCTCTCTCACTGTCTCTCTCTCTCTCTCTCTCTCTCTGTCAAATAAATAAATAAAATCTTTAAAAAAAAAAAAAAGAAGGCTGAAATCAGCCACCCAGTGGAAAGGTACTATGCTTTGCCCATTTTTCACCCCTGGGCCAGTTCTCAGATCCAGAAACCATCAATTGAAATAGAGACCTGGCCACATAAAGAAAGACCCTATAACACCACAGCAAGCAGATATAGTAATGATTCCCCCTGTCTTTTCCCAAAGGAACCCGTGACCATTTATTTCCACCTGAGCACTTAGGACTCCCTGTGCCAGTACTCCAGTAGGAAAAATAGGCATAACTTTATTAGAAGGATAATTGATCCTGATCGCAGGGCAGGGTAGACGCTTTTTGGCCCTCAGGTTATCCACTGGGGTATCTGTTGTTATTCCTGTGTCCAGTTTTAAATGTAAATAGGTAAATAACAGCAACCAAAACCTGATAAGGGCATGGGAGCCAGGAGCCCTCATCCCTTAGAAATGACAGTCAGGATCACCCCACCAGGCAAGCCACCTAAACTAGCAGAAGGGCTGGTCACTGGGAAAGAAATTTGGAGAGAAGAGAAAGATGATGAGCATCACCGGTGACCCCAGTGACAACGATAGCAGGGAAAGCTGTAGTAGTAAACCCTCCTCAGAAATCACAGCTGACTGGAACCAGACAGGCTGTCCTACATGGGAGGCACTTGCCGTGAAAACCAGACGGATCTGAGCGGGCGCAAGGGGAGGACCGAAGCAGATGCTGGGGTGCCTCACCCACTCTCAGCAAGGCAGGCGGGGGAACACCTGGTTCCAGGTGCTATTACCGGGTCTGGGTGCCCATAGCCCAGCTTCCATCAGTGTTGGCTGCTAACAGGACACAATTGCCCCTTCCCCTAAGATTTGCTCTTGCTCCAAAGGAGCCTCCAGGACCAGGAGCGCCTAGAAGGCTGTGCATCCCCTGAACTGGCCTGCAGTTGGTAAGTAACTGACACGGGGGTACAAAAGCTGGACCTCTTTGCCTCAAGGGGGGACAACTCTAGGGCTCCATTTGTGCCCAGATCTCCCCCTGCGATCAAGCTGAAGCTGAGCTCACGTCTTTCTGTAGCTTCTTCCCATCCCATGCTGCCCCTTCACTTCCCTCAATAAATCACTCACATGAGAGCCCCACCTTAGTCTCTACTTCTGGGAAATCTGGCCCCAGACTGGGAACTCACTCTGTATATGTGACCTGGTAAGATAGGAAGGGCAATGTGAGTCAAGTGTCTGCTCCCTCTGTGGGTCAAGAAGAGGTGAGAGTCTAGTAAAGAAAGGAAGACATCTGATGGCAGCAGGACATGAGCCTCAAGGACGGGGTGAGGTGTGAAGAATAACGAGGAAATGGGTTGAGAACGAATAGTGGCTCTGTCCCTGGCTTGAGGTTTTGAAGGGCTTAAAACTGGGAAGAATTAGCAAGTCCCAACAGAGAGGCCACAAGAAAATGGGTGTTTTTCTGGAAAGGAGCAGCCACTGCACTGCTTTCATTTCTACCTCTTTTCCTCCACAGCACCTGACTCGGGAACAAGCATCACCGACTGTCTGCTGCCTGCCTGTTCCTCTGGTGAATGAGTGTAGCCCCCACGCATCAGTGACCACCCCAAACGTGGAGACCTGTACCAAGCAGACTTGTTACTAGTTTCCTGTGTGTCATGAAGACCCCCCATTAGCCCTCCTGTGCATCCCCAACACCAAGCTGGATGTGCAGCACTTAGCAAAGCACATTGGAGAGCAAGATGACAGTGTCTGCTCACATTGATCCAAACATGCAGAAGCAAGAGCACATGGCAGGGCTCTGGCCACAGCAGCGAGGTCTAGTGCTCAGGCCCCTGCTGTCCGTCCCACTCATGAAAGTAGTCTAGGGAACAAGCAGGAGTTGTAGTCTGCACGCTCAACAAGCTGGGCAGAACACATGGTTCCAGAGCAGGAGAGCACGCATGAATCCCGAGATCCAACAGAAAACGGTGACCCGAGCAGGTCTCAGGGCACTGGAGGGAGCACTCTGGGACTAGGCATCTGCTGCAAAGAGGCTCTAGAGGGAAATCTACAACGCAGGTAACCAGCCGTTGTCTACCCTAAGATACACACAGCCAGAGAAACTTGCATTTTCTGATGGAAGTTTCTGGGGGAAATGGGCACTTTATTGTTTCCTGGGGTCTCTGGAGGCCTCAGGCAGGGCTGGGTCACCAGCTTCCCCCAGAAGAGGAGGCTGCTCCGTGGCTCTGTTTGTGGAAGTCGTGGCTATTTCCCCCAGCAAGATAAAAACTTGGAAAACTCAATCTTCTTATCCCCATTCTTGCCCCTTTTCTCAAAGGTATTGGCCCAGTAATCTGTGCGCTTTTTGTCCTGTGGGCAGGAGAAAATGAGACAAATCCCGTTGCACCCGTGAGATTTGGGCCAGGAGATATAGGAAGAGAGGCGCCCTGCTGTGGCGACCTGGCAAGAGCGTGTGGAGGAGAGGGGCACTGTAAGCAGAGCCACCATCCTGGGGCTGTTGCCTGATGAGCAACCCCCGGTGGGCACCCCTGGGATTCTGAGCAGCCTGGGCCACCAGCCACACTGGTGAGGGGGTGAGGGGACCTTCACCAGCCCCAGGCCCCGCCCTGTCCCTCTTTACGTGCACTGTCCACACTCTCCCCCAGGGCCCAGTGCAGGCTGACCTTGGTTTCCTTATGTTTCTACTCCCCTCCCATTTGACTCCTTTCCCATCCAAACTTGTAAGTTCTGGGTTCCCTCTCCTCAGGGCCCAGCTGTCTGTTAGATTTTGCTCATAGGTTCCATGCATTCTAATAGCACAATAAAACCCTGTGTAGACTAAGCTTCGCCTAATGTAAAGGGTTGTGCTCATATAACAAAGTTATGATTTCCACTGAGTTCCATCTTGATGAGGCTCCACTTGAACCAGAAGAATGAGTCTACTGGAGGGAGGAATTATGTTTGCCAGGAGGACTATCTGCTACCCCTGAAATCACAGTGGTTCAACAGATCATCTACTGGGATCCCTTCATATCTATACCCCATGTTGCTATTTTTAAATTATTTCCACTTACATATCCTCATTTATTCTCATTTATTCCTTAGATCAGAAAAAAGGGAATATCAGAGAGTGTGAGTAATTTGTCCAGAGTCACACAGCAGAGAAGCCCCAGCAGCAGGCTTCTGATTCCAAGCTCCAGACACCTTCTTCTACATGTTCTGTCTCCCCAAAGGGCTGGCCCTGCCTGGGGCTGGAAGGGAGTAATCAATGAGGCAGAATCAGGCTCAGGAATACCCAATAACAAAAAGTGAAACAAGAATCCTCAAATAGGGCGCCTGGGTGGCTCAGTTGGTTAAGCAACTGCCTTCAGGTCAGGTCATGATCCTGGAGTCCCGGGATTGAGTCCCACATCGGGCTCCCTGCTCGGCGAGAAGCCTGCTTCTCCCTCTGACCCTCCCCCCTCTCGTGTACTCTCTCTCTCTCATTCTCGCTCTCTGAAATAAATAAATCTTTAAAAAAAAAAAGAATCCTCAAATATGTCAGAACCCATGGGACTTGCCCACCCATCACAGCCCCCTCCACACACACATTAAAGCCTCTCCCTGCCCCAGACAAGCCAGACCCCGACTCACACAGGCATTGAGGAACTTGGGGAAATTCTCCTGGAGCATCTTCAGCAAGGCTGACTTGTCCATGGTGTCATGGTGCCTGGTGTAGTTGTGAAATAGTTCGATGATGCCCACCACGAACTTCTCAGCTTGTGTGCTGCTCATCTTGGCAGAAAGAAAAACTCTGACCCTTTTTTCCTTCCCTGGGTGAGGAAGGTCTCTATGTTTAGGACGAATGGATGGGAACAAGGGAGAAAGTGAAGAAGGCCCAGGTGGAGCAGAAGAAACTATTTCTCTGTGTGGTGGGACATGTGGCTGGGCCACACAGGTCAGGGTCCAAGAGGAGCTGAAAGAGAACATTGAAGTCCAGCTGTGGGTAGGGCCACAGACTGGAGAAGCAGGGATGTAGGGGTCAACCACCTGAAAAGGTGGGGCCCTGAGCGAAACACAGCATTTGGATGACCTCACACTTCCAACAGCACCAAATCCATCTTTTCCAGCATCAACGTCAGGGTGAGAGTCATGGGGGAGAACAGTACCACTGTTGATCGGTCTTGGACAGATCCTGGGCTGCTTTGGGAATAAGACCCCCTGGAGGCCCACCATGACCTGCATGAAATGGGCTGTGGGGGCTATGAAGGTGAGTGTGAGCAGAGGAACACAGTGCTGTCCTGAGCCCCAGTGGAGGTCTTCCTGGACCATCCCCAGGACCAAGAAAGAGGGACTATGGAAGAGAATCAGTCTCAGATTTAAAATGAACAGAAAAACTCTGGTTTCTCTTCAGATCGCATAAATCTTTCGCCTTTTACTAAAATGAACAGAAAGACCTGCCCAGGTTCTTAGGTGGAATGTGAAAGAATGGTGTCCTAGATATCGTCTATTATTGAGGATGACCTGCCCTTTGACCTTCCTACTGTCTGGACCTCCCGAAGGCTAGACCATGTTTAAATAAAGAGAAGGTCTGACTTCTTGAATCAGGTTCTCCTGCCAACAGTCAGAGGTCTGGGCTGGACGGGACCCCAAGCCAGAGAAATTGGACAGTGCAGCCTTCACATTCCAGAATTACCAAAGCACCAAGGAAATAACCTTGGCTCATACAGGTGAGTATCTAATACAAACTGCCATCACCTCCTGATGTGGGAGAAAGCTGTTATGTCACGAAGGAATGGTCCAAGACAGAAGCTGAGCCCTGTACCCAGACAGTCCCTGGGCTGGAGTGGAAGTGTGAAGGCTTTATTCATGCAGGGGCAGGACATCTCACCAAGGCAATGGGGAGTGGAGGTCTCGGGCCTGAGGTTAGGAGAACCTTCATGGCTTTGGCAGGGGCACCCACTCTTCCCCAAAATTGGGATGCAGAGTGGATCTCCAGCAACCCAGGGCATGGCAGGCAGGTAAACCAAGAGAGGAAGGAAGACAAGGAGGAGAGGGAGTCATGTCCTCAGTTCCCACTGGGGATATCTCCACAAAAGTTGTCACAGAGGAGCCAGGGGAGTGTTTGGTCCAGCTGCCTTGTGCAGACAAAGACCTCAAGCCGGGGGGGGGGGGGGGGGGGGG